CAGGCCTGTGACTAACAATTCAATTTTTTTCTCCTATATGGTTATTAAAACCTTGCCTGATGAAGAAGTCAGTAGAGCTTTGAAAGCTTACAACATGAATATTGTGCATTTTGGTTGTCCCAATAAAGGTATCATTCTTTGATGGATTTTTGATGTTATTGGATTTGGTGTATGGTCAACACAGCTATCCCTGGATGTACTCAGCAGTAGTCTTTTTTCTTTTGGCTGTAGATTGCCACTGTCCACCACTGTCTGTGACCATTCTGGGCACTTATTCCAAACAACAGCTCATTCCAAATAACAGCTGACCAAAATCACTATATCACCTCCCTAAACTGCAACTCCCAAGACTGCATAGGATGAATCATAGTAGTTCAAATGGAATCATAGTATTATAATTGTGCAGTGTGAAAGGGCCCCTGAAAAGTGCAAAGTTGAGAGACACTGATCTGGTTCACATGTAGGTGCCTAGTGATCTATGATGCCATCACTCAAAGGTGGTGCTAACAAGAGACAGTGCCTCCATGAGGTCCACTGAAAAGTTTGCATTTTGTTTTCTTCAAAAATGAATCAAAATGGGAACATAGTTTTGAGAAAACAAAAGGTTTCCCTAATAGCTCATTGCTGTTAAATCAGGGGAGCAAGGAAATTTTAGTGGCAGCTAAATCAAAAATAACCTGGTATAAAAGACAACTGCATTATAGCCATTGATATGAATCATTGAACCATTTGAACAATAAGGTGCCAAAAGCTATGGCATATCACATAAGACTGCCAATACAGACTCAATCCAATATGGCTTTAATGCTGATCTGAATCCCATTCTGGGGGAAGAAAATCAAGGGAGCACATAAATCAATAACAAAACAAATACTTTCATGACAAGCATGCCAAACTCAATTTTCCTTTGCTCTCACTACATAATATAAAATTAATATATTCATTTCACATTAGGTTTGTTAGACATTTTAAATAGTGTTGTGTACTTTTAATCTAATCAATAATGCAGTTATGGTTTGTTGCAAATAATGAAAGCACTGTGTTCTACAACAAAAACCTCAATTCTGCTAAATACCCTCTGCTACCTTTTGTTGTTATCTGCCTTCAAACTGACACCAATGTATGATAAACCTTTCACTGGGTTTTCTTGGAAAGACATATTCAGTGGAGGCTTGCCATTGCCTTACTCTGTGACTTGTTCAAGGTCACCCAGGAAGCTTCCATGGTTGATTGAGGATTCAAAACCTGGTCCTAGGCAAACACTCAAACCACTACCTCACATCAGCTCTTGCTCTCCTTTTGCACCTTTTAAAATAGTTCATTATCAAGCTTCCACAAAATTTGCTAGAAATAGCATCTGCATGTTAGACTTCATAATCTCTTTGAATAATGTGGTACAGTCCTGACAGAGGGTATTTTTTCAGGCTGCTGCTGGAGACTCAGGTTCAAAACACACTGCAAAAATAATCCAGTTTGAGACTGCTTTAACTGCTGTGGCTCTTTGCTAGGGAATTCTGAGAACTGTAGTTTTGAGAGCCATTTAGCTTTCTCTGTCAGAGCTGTGGTGCCATAATAAACTACAATTCCCAGGATTCCCTAGCACTGAGCCAGGGATTGTTTCTGCTGTGTGTTTTGGACCTCGCTGAAGTAAAAAAATCACTCACAAGATGGGTAAGCTTTAACTGAACTTCTCTCAAATGTTAGCTTCCTGACACAGGATTGAGTTGTGTGATTATAATTAGTTATTTATTATTAAAAGAAGTATAATCATTGACTTGTGCCTGAGGCAAGGTACAACTTTAAAAACCAATCTCATATAAACACTCAAATTAGAAACAATTCAAACCATCTGTAAAACTTCCAGAGAAGCCACTAAAGTAATCAAAAGCCTACCTAACCAAAACTGTCATGACAGAGGACATGGAGATAGGCGAAGAGTGAACCAATCTGAGCATTTTAGCAAACAGTTCCTTAATCTGGGAGTTGCCACAAGAAAGGCCTTGTCTCCACAAATTAACAGGTGAAGTATTCAAAGTATGGTCTCACCTGTGCAACTTGAACTACAATCAACCTTCCATATCCACAGATTTTTTTATTCATGGATCCAAGGATCCACGGTTTGAAAATATTCACAAAATATATAAAGATAGAAGGAAAAAGGAAGTTGAAGAGGGTATGAGAAAGTAGTAAAGTAGAAGGATTATAATGGAAGGGGAATGACTGTGAAGATGTAGTAATATGTGTAATATGTGTGGAATGAAAGAGGTAGATGAATAAGAAAGAGAGGGAAGAAAGAGAGAAAGGAGAGAAGGGAAAGAGGAATGGGTTAGGAAGGAGGAATATGAAAGGGAATAAAGAAAGAGGGCAAATGAAAGAGTGGATGAAAGTTTAAGGATATAGAAGGAAAGAAAATAAGATGTATAAAGGATGATGGTTTAAAGAAGGATCAAATATGTTAATTTGTTAAGTATATATAAAAAA